GGGCTGGCTGGAGAATTCTGGGAGTTGAAGTCCACCCATCTTAAGTGGCCAAGTTTGAAAAACACTGGTTTAGTTTATATCCTCTCTCCTCCAACTATAGGCACTCAATAACTTCATCTATTTTCTCCCCAACAACAACCCTTCCAGGTAGGCTGAACTCAGTGATAACAACTGGCCCAGGGACGTTCGCAGGGTATAGTCAAAAAGTTAAGATGGCAGCCATGATGGTGCGAAGCAGGCAGAGCTTCAATTGCACTTTTGTGGCTGCCATCTTGACATTTTTCAACCGCACCCTGCAACACCCCGCTGAACCGACCCAAAGCCATCCAGAGAACGTCCATGACTAAAGGTGGGCTTGAACCCGGGACTCCCATTCCAGTCGGACACCATCACTACTACATCACTCTGCCTCTTTATTCTGCACGCACCCTGCAGAATGACAGCCCGATTCAGCTGAAGCAAGGATGCTTCTCAGCAGATACCCGCCCAGCACATTTTGAAAAGAAGAAAAGCCACCATCTAGGCTGTGCAAAGGAAGAAAAGGGAGCTTTGGGGGGCACGATCCTGCTTCCCGGAGCCCTTCCCTTTAACGCTGCAACTGACACCTCCTCGCCCGTTTCAACCCTTGCTGAAAACTCCCAGCCAGACCGTCTTGCTTTCGCGCCTCGCACCGCAGCCTGAACCAAGCGAGAGCCAGAGCATTTTCTCACCTCCTTCAGAGTCACACGGATTTGCCCGCTGCCATCTCTGTCCAAAGATTTGAAGGCACCTAAAAGAAAAGAAGATTCGGGGATGAATCAGGCAGAGCAGCAGATGCCAGGCTGATCCTCTGGCACCTTTCAGAGGCGTGGCGCTCTAACTTCCATAATCCCCTGCCAACCCCTGAAGACCAGCCTTGATGGAGGTTAAGGAGCTGAAGTCCAGCCCCTCTGACAGGCGCACGTTGGCTGAGTGGGTCTACGGGGGCGCTGGCTGCCTGCGGGACGGGATGCCAAGACTGAAGTCAGGGAGAAGCTGCACCAGCTGCCCCAAAGCGGGCATCCCCTTCTGCCACCCGGAGGAACAGAAGAAGGGGTGCCTCCGGGATGCCAATGGGCACATATCCCCAGGGCAGGGACCTCAGGAAGGGCGCCCTTGCCCCAGCCACTTACGGAACATGGCATCCAGGCGCACGAGGCAGCTGATGAAGTTGTCAAAATCCATGTTCCCATTCTCGTCAGAATACCTGCGGACAATCATGCTGTACAACTGTTCGTTGAGCTGAAAGCCTGTGGAGGAAACGGAAGAGGGTGGAAAGAAGGGGGCAGAACAGGCTGAAATTGGAAGCATTTCAACAGCTCTGTTAACAAGGAGCTCGTGCGCAGTGGCACGCTTCCACGCCCCTCCACCCTTATCTTAAAGAGGCTGGGGAGCTTGCATTTGTCCACATGATTCCCAAAGTTCTCTCTTCTCCTGGTCACCATAACACACTCAGGTGGTCGGCTCAGGGACTAGGAATCTCCGGTTCAATACAATACTCCAATACAAGCTGGATGTGGCCTTTGGGTGGGTGGGTGGTGGGGGAACACTGCTTCTCCCCATCACCCACTGCACCTAGCACAGCAGCAACCTTTGGAAAGGCCACTGGCCACACGGGAGCAGCTCTGGGTGGGAGGATCGCTGCGGGAGAGGGGAGGGCAAGCCGTCTTCCTCCCCATGAATGGAAGCCTTTACAAAAAAATGCGTCTATATCCCCCCCCCCTTTGCAATGTCTGAAACATCTCACGACCACAAGCAGGAGCAAGGGAGGGAGGCAACCAGAGGAAACAGAGGGAGAGGCAGCGAAAAGGAGGACACCCACTGCAGGGGAGGAGGGGGCTGACCTGCTTCCAGACAGAATTGTTCAGATACGGCTCTGGAGGTTTCTAAATCTGCCCCAGTGCAAGGGGGCTATGGCCCCATCTTATCTTCTCCTTCGTCCAGAGGTGGTAAACCACTGGCCATGTAATTCCTGCCACCCCATCCCCAATCCCCCACCCTTCCCTTCCCTTCCAGTAACCCCTTTATGTGGTCTTGATGTTTTGGTCTTTGTGGTTTTGGGGCAATTCACCCATTAAAAAATCAAAACCCACCCAAGAAATAGCTGGGGTTTTTTTTGTTTTTCGTTTTAAGATTCAGAACAGGTGCCTTAGGATTCTGGCACCTGCGGGCTGGAAGAACTGGCACCTTTTTCTGCTCTCGCAGCTCACCTGCAGCCTCAAAAGCTCCTGGGAGTTCTCCGCTTCCGATGGTGCCAGATCGGTCTGCATCGTATTGCTTGTAGATGCACTGAGAATAGGAGGGGGGCAGGTCAGCTTCAGGCCGGGGAGGGGAAAGGTGTCCCTGCCCAGCCAGACCCAGGGGGCAAGACCCCAGCTGCCCCCTAAGAGAGGGAAGCCAGTTTGCTACCTGCCACTTCTTGATGTTGTTCCAGAGATATTTAAACTCCTCAAACCCCAGCTTGCCAGTGGTGTCGCTCTGGAGGGAGCATCGTCAAGGAAAACCAACAACAGAGAGAAACCAGGACAACCTCAACCCCCGTTCTGGACCGGGAAAATGTTCTCCAGATACAAGGACTCTCCCCGTGTCCTGGCCGTGCCGGCCGTAAACCCAACATGAGTGGGTGCACCAGGCTGGGGAAGGCTGAGTCAGAGACCAGCAGAGACTCAGAACTCCAGAAAATGAAGGGCTGCGGGGCGGGGGGAGCAGAAAGGAGACGACGGTTGACCGCTGGGTTCCAGAAGGGAACCAGAAGCAGCATCTGAAAAGCAACCTCCTTGCAAGGGCAAAGAGTGGTCTCATCAGCTTGGCCACGGCTCACCCCTGCAGAGGGACCGCCCCACATTAGACTTTTGCGGGAAACACAGCAACAGAAAGGAAGAACAGTCAGAGAAGGAAGTCAGAAGGGAAGAAGAGAGACTGCTGTCTTCCCAGCCCGCCATCCCAGCCCCTTTAAGAAGAGCCTCCCCCGCCGCCCCCCCTGGACCCCCTGCAAAAGGGTACATCCATCACAGCCACCATGGAACGACAGGTGTCAATCCCAAACCCATCTGTCTTCAAGTCTGGATCTGGAAAAGAGGCAAAAGGGGGTGAGACTTGCAAGCCTTCTCTCAACAGTCCAGCACTCTGGGGAAGGAGGAGGATCGGCTGTGACCGAGGGAAGAAGCTGTGATCCTCCTCCTCCAAGATTTTCGGATTGTTGGTCTTTGCTGCAGCAGCTCTTCCTGGTCCTTCCATCTGCAGACAGGTTCAAGAGCTCCCAGCTGGAAGCCCGGCAGACCGGGCACGCAGAGAGTGGCGTTCCAGCACATCTGGAGTGCCAGGGCAGGATGGAAAACTGACGTAGGGGCAGTTTCACAACACAGGCTACCATCAGTGCCCGGGGCACACTGCCGTGCCTCCTGCCCGTCTGACCAGAGAACTGAAACTTCCCGATGTAGAATCTGGGGAGCAGGAGGCAAAAACATCCTCAGCCCTGACTCCCTGGGGACCCCCAGGACAGGGGTTTTCCACTTACGTCTGGTCACCACTTTGTTCAGGATGTTCATCAGCTCGGTGGCACTTACTTCCATGTCCTACAAAAAGAGGAGACCAGCTTAGGGGGCACCCAGTCAGGAGCAGGGGTGCCTGAGGGGGAGGGGCAAAAAATGTGATCAAAGTCACCATCTTGCCTTTTTTGACCCCTTCCCCAGAACGCCCTGGTCAGGAGGGCAAGGGGGATTTTTGGAGCCAAGGATCAGAGTTATGTGCTGAGCAGCCTACCAAAAAGACATCATTAAGAGATCCACTATGATTCCAAGCAGGTGCCTCCAAGAAGAGAAAAAACTAACTTAAATAAATCCCACTTTATTAGCTTTTTGGAAATTTCTGAAAACAGAGTTCTTTAGGTGAGCTTTCGAATTACAAACATTGCTATTTATTAATTGGCTGCAATCTTTAGCCTGAGGTTCGTGATTTTTAAATTACAACATTCTATGGTCTTAAATGTGATTGGTTATTTCTTATTCTGATTCGATCATTTCTTTGTTCAATTTGCGTGGCCACCCATCTCAGCAAGTGACTCTGGGCAGTGAACAATCTTAAAAACAAATGATTAATATTTTAATATTATCAAACATAATTATCAATTATCATTATTAATGTTGATTGATATTAACTATTTATTTATTTATTTATTTATTTATTTATTTATTTATAGAACTCATTCGGCCGCTTATCTCATATGACGACTCTAGGTGGCTCGCAACAATCCTTTCAAGAGAAGTACCCTTCCCTCGATATTTTATTAAAATATTAAAATAAACGATTAAATTAAAATAAATGTGGGGGCATTTTTGTATAATTTCATGAGACTGCAATTCACAGAGGATTTTTGTTGGTTTGCAGTAAGAAATTGGATAGAATAAAGTGCTTCATTACCCTCTTGGACCTGAATACAATCAAAGCTACACTAACCAAAACACTAAATAAAACATTGTAATTAAATCGTAACCCTTCAAACAAATCATCCCACCCAGTGTTTCTCAACCTTGGCAGCTTGAAGATGGGTGGACTTCAACTCCCAGCATTCCCCAGCCAGC